CTTTTTGTTTGTCATCATTCGTTCATTATGAACATTTACGTGATCGCAGAAATTTGCCGTCATCCATTACGTCAGCATCATTTTCCGCATGGCTCTGATCTAGGATTTGTATTTTATTTAAGACTTCATTTCACCCTGTTGGTCATTTATCACTGTAAAAATGTTTGTTTTTTCTCGTAAGTTTTAGCGTATTAATTTGGTTGTTCCACTGCAAAAACATTTTGGCATCATATTTGAATGCGGGTGGCTGTTTTGATGCGTTGTGGTCATTGTACATTGTGACTTAAGTGTTTGTTTTAGAAACGTCGCTGCAGTCAACGAAGGACTCGTCAGAAGCCGCAATCGGTGAATATACTCAAATGGAGTGTGCCGCTGATTCAGCACATTTACCATTACCTACCTGTTAGTTCTGTTTTTAATTCTGATTTATCTTTAATCAAAATTTGATCCCAAATAGTCACGAATAAGATTATCAGAAGTCTCACCTCCCCTCAGTTTCTTCTTTAACCTCATCTATTTCTTTCATCACACAATAAATACTTCGTGTTTTTTCGCCTGTTCCTCATATGCTTGATATTCGTCGCCTTATTATTTGTTTAAACAATTCTATTCCACTTCATAGTTTGTTGTTTAGACGATAGGTATAATGTATCTGTTCTTTTCAAATGAATCAGTAACATTCAAAATTCTTTTGAGTACTCCATTGGGATAACGTAGTTATATTTATCGTTGCAGCTGATCAGAATTTCAATCTAACTGAAGTTCATTCGTATGTATCGGACAGTACGGAAAGTTGTCATTCAGGTGCGTTTTCGAATCGATCCAATCCACCTAATGAAAGTTCGTGTGTTCTTCGTTTCTTGCTTGCATTGTCGTTATTTTTAACTTGTAATTTATCATTGTTTGAGTTTTTTCTTTCTCTGCTTGTTAGAGACTGGCTGCTAGATTTCTATCAAAACCAGTTTTATCGCATCGCAAATCAGATTGTCACTTTTTCGTTCGGGAAAAATCGCATTTATATTCTAATTGTCTTTTTAAAATTACAAACAAACGAAGTCATTTATATTCGATTCAAATTTGACCAATTCACTATGATCCGTTAAACATTAATGATTTTGCACAGCACTTACCTCTAGAAATGATTCAGAGGAAATACCACTGCGTGAATGCAGAATATTTTACGCAGTCAATTTTAATGGTAGCATGTGTGCATTTTCAATATGGCATGCATTCAAAATGATAATGAGTGCATTGAAAGTAACATGTATCAGCTATGATAATGTTCTCACGCTATGATCGAATTCTCATCGTTTCTGTGTCACTGCTCCATCAGCAACTTTAAATGAGTGAATGAAACTGTGTTACCGTATGGTTTAGTGTCCCGATGCAAAAACTTTCTTTGTTAAATATTGCGTTGAGCGATTATG